TATATATATATCAATAGGTTTATGACAGTTTATTGTCACTGTATCTGATGTTAAATTTTCAATAAAAACTTTTTTAAAAAGAAGTCCTGCATACTTAAGAGCTGAGAGGAGACAAAATACGTATCAGTCTTGTTTAGTTTCTAGAAGGCCTACTTTTCCATGCTCAGGCATTGTTACCGGACTCATTATGACAACAGTTATGCTCTCCCGACAGGTTTCTGCACGCTCCTGGGATCACAATGAATTTTTTGCTCAGTTCGCCGGTGATCACACTCTTTTAAACTCAGGGTACTCTCCCATAATGGAAAAAATGGCTGAAGGATTGGACATTCGGTTAAAGGCCCCAGTAAGTACAAAGAGTGGAGCTGCGGTGGCTCAAGTGGTTAAGACGCTGAACTGCAGGCTGTGGAAGGTCAGTAGTTCAGCACTTCAAGACCCGGGTGCCGCATGATGGAGTGAGCCGGCTCTTCGGCTTTGAAACAGAGATGAGCACCTCAACCCTAGAGTCGGATTCGACTGGCTTTTGAGCAAAGGAACCTTTACCTTTTACAAGGGCACAGCAGCATTTCATCTCACCGGTGTCTGGTTTGGCTTGCTTTGTTTTTTGTTTGTTTTTTTTGGAATGTCTCTTTTTTATTTAATTTATTTTTTTTAATTGTTTCCCACAAATTTTACATATTATCTTTTGACCATGCATTACACAGTAGTTTTTATCCCTCCCCCCCATCCCCCATCCCCCCTATGCTATCCCGGTGTTTTAGTCCTATATTCCCAGCCACAGGCACAAAGTCCAAATCTTGCTCTGAATGTCTTTTCTTCCTTCTGTCGGTATCCATTCCAGGTAGGTCTTCCACTTCGTCATGGTCCCCGTAGTCTTATCTTCCCATGTGGCCTTACGTTCCAGCTTTTTGATTATGTCAGACTGTATGAGATCAAACAAATAATTATGCCAGATTTCTACTGTCCATTTATTTTTGTTCTTCCAGCCTAAAGCTATTACTGCTTGACCTGCTAGTATCATGGCTTTAAACAAAGCTTGGTTCTCTTTGCTTATTGCTGGGTTACCTACTATGCCCATTAGCATTAAATTAAAGTTAATGGGTAATGATACTTTACATGTCTTTTCTATAATTTGTAATATCTTTGTCCAGAAAACTCTGACCTCTGGGCATTCCCACCACATATGGGAATACCATCCCTTCGATTGTTTACAATGCCAGCATCTAGGACTCATACCTGGGAACATGTTTGCAATTTGTGCTGGTGTTTTATACCATTTAGTAAGAAATTTATGCTCCATTTCATTAAATTTAATGACTTTAATTTCCTCAGTTCCTTTCATTATTTTTCTTGCCATGCTATCTGTTATCTGACCTTCTTTGGCCCAAGTGTTTTGTATATACAGTATTGCCTTGTCTTCGTTTGATATCATTTCCTTGTAAATTTTCCCTGCTAACCCTTGTTTTGACTTTTGCATCTCTTTGTATATTGTTTCTATTGGTTCCTCTAACCAACTTTTCTCTTTCTCCTTTATCTTTTTAACCTTACTATACAGGCCAGTTATTCTTAACCAATGTTGGTTTCCCACCTCTTCTATTATCTCCTGTACCGGTTTTAGATTGCCTCCTCTAAATCCAACCAACTTTTCTCTTTCTCCTTTATCTTTTTAACCTTACTATACAGGCCAGTTATTCTTAACCAATGTTGGTTGCCCACCTCTTCTATTATCTCCTGTACCGGTTTTAGATTGCCTCCTCTAAACATATCTTTCATCCTATAAT